GGAGAGAGGAGGAAATGCTCAGATCTGTCTGCTGGACCTGGGGCTGCCTTGGTTTTAGAAGCATAGGTTATTGAGGCGTGATCTGATTGGATCTTGCAAGGTAATGCCAGGAAGCATGATCTGATTGGGTCATGCCATGGGATGATGCAAGGGTTCGATCTTATTGGACCCTGGATCCTGCCATGTGGTGTCCCCCTCTGAAGTCAGTCCCGCCCCTCGGTCTGAGCACTTATGTTCTGCCCACCATTGCATGCTTGGTTCAGCTGGGGGTGACGTTTCGACTGGGGGGTCCATGGCAACTGCAAAACAACTCGTAATTTTGTTACATAAACAAAGACCCTATTTCCAAATAGGAATACATTCACAGGTACCAGGGTTTAGGACTTCAACTAATTTTCTTTCTTCCTTCCTTCTTTCCTTCCTGTCTTCCTTCCTTCCTTCTTTCCTTCTTTTCTTCCTTCCTTTTTTTCCTTCCTTTCCCTCCCTTTCTCCCTCCCTTCTTCCCTTCCTCCCTTTCTCTCTCATCTTTCTTTTCTGATTATGAAAATATAATAGATCACTGTAAAAGTTTATGGATGGTTGGGCTTCCTCACAATATGGCGACTGGGTTATAAAGATGAGAGTCTCAAGAGAACAAAGTGGAAGTACGTGATATTTTTATGACCTAGCACGTATGTTTTTGACCTAGTGTCCCTTCCATCATAGTCACGAGCATGCTCAGATTCAATAGCAGAGGGGTCATATATCCCACGACTTGATGAAAGGAGTACCAAAGTCACGTTAAATCAAGAGCATGTGGGATGGGATATATCATTTTCATTGCTTTTGGAAAATACAGTCTGCTTTACTGGGTTGAAGTATATTTTTAACTCCAGCTCTTTCTCTGTGCAGATATTGATGAATGTTCTCAAAGCCCCCCAGTATGTGGTCCTCACTCAGTCTGCGAGAATACACTGGGGACATACAAATGCAGCTGTTTGCCTGGTTTCTCTTCTCCCACTGGAAATGGCTGGATCCCGGGAAAGCCAGGCCATTTTGCCTGTACAGGTAATGCTCTCTGGCCTTCTGGCTTGGGTCTTTAGTGGACATCTACGATTGGGTTAAGTTCCTTTGTTTCTAAATTTACACTCCCAATCTCTTGTCCACTCACTCTTCTCTGCGCCTTCTCAGACATTGACGAGTGCCTCACTAGCGGGGTCTGCCCTGAGCATTCTCACTGTGCCAACTCCATGGGAAGCTACAGTTGCAACTGCCAAGTTGGATTCATCTCTAGCAAGTCCACCTGTGAAGGTATAAAGGACCAGACCTTCGTTATTTACCTACTTAATTAATTAAGGATCACATCACTAGAAGAGGAAGGGATTTTCTCACTTTATTTTATTTATTTGATTTTATGATTGCTTGAGACAGGATTTCACTCTATTGCCAGGGCAGATGCAGTGGCATCCTCATAGCTCACTGAGACCTGGAACTCCTGGCATCCAGTGATCCTCCTGCCTCAGGCCCCTTAGTAGCCAGGACTATAGGTGCAGGCCTCCATGCCTGGCTAATTTTTCTATTTTTTGTAATGATGGGATTTTGCTATGTTGCCCAGGTTGTTCTCACCCTCCTGGCCTCAAACAATCCTCCTGCCTGAGCCTCACAAAGTGCTAGGATTACAGGCATGAGCCACCATGTCCAGCCTGGATTTTCTAATTTTAGGCAGAAAACTGGGGCTCAAAGAGGTGAAGTGACTTTCCCAATGCATGCAAGTATTAAGAGGAAGAGCTGGGACTTGAATTCTTGTTGAGGGCCTCTAGAAATCAAACACTGTGTCACGCTGGACCTGAGTATAATAAGGAGCTGTTGTTACTGAGCGAATCAATGGGCTTGCTGTCCAATGTGCATAGTAGTCAATAATATGGCACCGGCCTCTGAGTAAAAAAAGTTTTATTGCAAGTTGGTGACTGGCAAGGTACAGGTGGAAATGCTCAAATCTGTCTCCTGGAGCTGGAGGCTGGGTCAGTTTTTAAGCATAGGATAATGGGACGTGATGTGATTGGATCTTGCAATGAGGTGATGCCAGGAGGCATGGTCTGATTGGGTCATGCCATGGGATGATGCAAGGGCTTGATCTGATTGGATCCTCGATGGTGCCATGTGGTGTCCCCTTCTGAAGTCAGTCCCCACTCCTCAGTCTGAGCACTTATGTTCCGCCCACCATTGCATGCTTGGTTCAGCTGGTGGTGACGTTCAACATGGGGGTCCATGGCAACTGCAAAACAACTCATAATTTTGTTACATAAACAAAGACCCTATTTCCAAATAGGAATACATTCACAGGTACCAGGGTTTAGGACTTCAACTAATTTTCTTTCTTCCTTCCTTCTTTCCTTCCTGTCTTCCTTCCTTCCTTCTTTCCTTCTTTTCTTCCTTCCTTTCCCTCCCTTTCTCCCTCCCTTCTTCCCTTCCTCCCTTTCTCTCTCATCTTTCTTTTCTGATTATGAAAATATAAAAGATCACTGTAAAAGTTTATGGATGGTTGGGCTTCCTCACAATATGGCGGCTGGGTTATAAAGATGAGCGTCTCAAGAGAACAAGGTGGAAGTACGTGATATTTTTATGACCTAGCACGTATGTTTTTGACCTAGTGTCCCTTCCATCATAGTCATGAGCATGCTCAGATTCGAGAGCAGAGGGGACATATATCCCACCACTTGATGAAAGGAGTACCAAAGTCACGTTAAATCAAGAGCATGTGGGATGGGATATATCATTTTCATTGCTTTTGGAAAATACAGTCTGCTTTACTGGGATGAGGTAAATTTGTAACTCTAACTGTTTCTCTATCCAGATGTTGATGAATGTTCTCAAAGCCCCCCAATATGTGGTCCTCACTCAGTCTGCGAGAATACACTGGGGAAATACAAATGCAGCTGTTTGCCTGGTTTCTCTTCTCCCACTGGAAATGGCTGGATCCCGGGAAAGCCAGGCCATTTTGCCTGTACAGGTAATGCTCCATGTTCATCTATAGGGATGATGGCTACAGCATTGTGAAAGGCCAGGAGTGATCAAACCCTCATCACATGTCCCCTGGCTTAGTTTAAGAGATGTTGGATGTCATCTCTGCTTTTTCTCATCTATTTGTAGCCGTCAGTTATGACCGAGTAACAAATCACCCTGAAAGTTAATGGCTAAAAATGACCATGTTTATTTAGCTCTGGAGTCCATGGGTTAGCAATTTAGGTTGGGTTCTCCAGGCCAGTTCTTTTGGTCTCACCTGGGCTTGTTCTTGCGTCTGCAGTCAGCTCATCTTGGCTGGGCTGTTTCATATGTCTGGGACCCATCTGGAATGGTTCATTTCTCTTCCACTTGGTCTTCCATTCTTCATTAGGCTGGTCTGGGCTTTGTGCCTATGACAGAGGTAGGAGGTCCAGGAGAATGAACAGAAGGAAACAGGTCTCTTAAGGCTCGAGTTTGGATCTGGCATCTTATCACTTCTGCATTCTATTGGCCAATGCAAGTCATAAGGCCAGCTATATTCAAAGTGTGGGGAACCAGACCCTACCTCTTAGTGGCCGGCATGGCAAAGTCACATACATGCAATCTGCATCCCAAGGCGTGAATACAGAGAATGATGGATTATGGCCATTTTTGCAATCTCGGTTAATTCTATTTTGAAACTATTTGCCACCCTTCTGCTTGCATATCATTGGCCAGAATTTATTCTCATGCCCACAGCTAAGTGTAGGAGGCGACTGGGAAATACGTACCACTGTGTGCCCTGGACGAAGGGGAGCACACAGATACCGGGGTGCATCCGCCCAGTCTGCCACAAATGAACCTGCAGAGTGAATCTCCTGTCTGCTGTGTGCAGTCACCCTTTCCTCATTTACCTTGACCTGGGTTTGGGGTTTCCTCTTCCACTCTTCAGAGGTGGACGAATGTGCCAACCCCGGAGCTTGCCCGGAGTATGCGACTTGTTATAACACTCTTGGAAACTACTCTTGCATCTGCAACCCAGGATTTGAATCCAGCAGCGGCCCCCTGAGTTTCCAGGGCGTGGGGGGATCCTGTGAAGGCAGGTGGAGTGTCTTTTGGGGACTCGGGTCCACGTCTGTTTGCAAAGGCGCCAGTGACAGGGTTGGGGTGAGTCCTGGCTGAGTTCAAGACTTTCATCTGCAAATCTGAAGCCAACAACTATTCATTCATTCATTTACTCACTCGACAAATACCTCTTGAGCCCCTGTTCTATACTCTGAAATATTTAAGGCACTTGGGATAGAGCAGTGAATAACATGTCCAAATACCATCCTATTGGGGGTTTGGGCTTCAACATATGAATTTGGGATGGGGGCCACCATTCAGACCATTGCACCCAGGAACACAGAGCCCTTAAGTGACAGAGCCAGGCTTTGAACCCAGAAGAGAGTTCACTGGGAGAAAATCAAACCGTGTGGCCTAAAGTTAATCTATGCACCTGCCTCATAAATTGCAAAGAGACTAGAAGCAAATGATTCAGTAGGTGAGCTTGGCTGGGGCCAGGTTCTCAGAGCCTTGCACATCTAATGAGGAGTTTGGATTTCATCCTGAGCCCTGGGGAGTGTTATCAGAGTAGTTTATGGGTCATGGGTGTGCCTCTAATGGTTGCTCTCTGAATGGTGAAAACGCGGTTCAAGAAGGTGAGATTGGAACCAGGGAAACACATTGGCTCCCGTCAGCGGTGAGGCCGTGAGTGGCTGTAGCCCCAGCGTCCTTCCTTCTTTTGACTGAGACTGGTTTTCTGCTTAGATGTGGATGAATGTTCCAGAAACTCGACTCTTTGTGGTCCCAATTCCGTCTGCGTCAACATCCCAGGAGCATACAGTTGCTCCTGCCTGGCTGGCTTCTTTTCGCCCGAGTTTCAGACCCTCAAAGATCCAGGGGCTTTTGAATGTACAGGTAAGTTTCCCAGCCATGCTGAAGACAGTTCAATGCATATCCAATGACCTCGAAACATAGAGGCTTTAGAACAATGACCCTTTATTCTTGCTCGTGATTCTACAGATCGAGCACATGATTTTTAGGGCTCTGAGATGACTGGCACGTCCAAAATGGGCTTGCTTACATGACTGGTAATTGGTGCTGGGATCTCAGCTGGGCCCCTGAGCTTTCCTCATGGGTCTTTCCACATCGCTGCTTGGGCCTCCTCATAGCATGGCAGCGTTTCCAGGAAAGAATGTTTCAAGAAGAAGAAAGCAAAAACTGTCGGTCTTTTTATGGGCTGGGCTGGAAAGTCCCAGAACATTCCTTCCACCACATTCTATTGGCCATGGGCCTAGATTTCAATGAAGGGGAAATAAACTCCCTATCTCACTAGACGAGCAACATGTGCCTACAGGAAGTGGAGGAATTTCTGGAGGCCATCTTTGGAATATCTACTCTATTGCAGAGTGCATTTTATATTCTTCAACTGTGAAAAATGCATGCTTCTTTTCATTAAAAAGGCTGTATTTCTTGTTATTTGTTGATCTTTGCTAGCTGCTGATATTATTAGAAGCAGAATGATAGAGGGGTGAAGTTGAAAGGGACCTTATAAATAAGTCATTACAGGTTTAGGTGCTCCCGGGAACCCACCTGGGATCCCATCGAGACCAAGGCAAAAGCCATGCAGGCAAGGCCATGGGCTCTCCCATCTGCTTTTGTCAGATTATCACCTCTTTTATTTGTTTTACGTACTCAGGTTTCACTTCACGTAAAGAAAAGCTTCCTGGGCAAAAAAATTTTGAAAACCGTGCATCTGGTCCAACTCCATCCGCAAATTTCAGCCACTAGATCACCATACGCGCATTTCTTCCGTGCTGCCTGTGACCAGATGCCACCTAGTTTATGCTTAAATGTTTCTGGAAGTGGGGATCTCTCTCCTACTAAATGAGGAGACGTCTTTCACGATACTAACAGGAAAACCACTTCCCCTTATCTTCCAGCAACAGCCCCTTCTTGCGTGTCTTCGGAGGCCTTGAAATTAATCCACATTCGTATCACAAAGACTTTTGATTCCAGTTCTCTATGGTAATACCCAGTGCCAGACACCATATACTGGTTTGACTCACTAGTCAACGTTGCCTGCCTGTTTATTCCTCCTATTTTGTGAGTTGTTATAGAAATAAGAAAGCTTTGTCTTTACCTCCTTCCTAATTGTTTTTTTTTCCCCCATAACATTCTATTCCATGTATCTGCTGCAATTCAGAAACCCTCCGAGGGAGAGCTAAGCCTCTACTGGCATGGCAACCTGGCATCCCCCTGGATTAGTTAAGTCAGGGTTTCTCAACCTTAGCACTATCGACATTGTGGGTTGTATAATTTTTCGTAGTTGTGGAGAGGGTGTTCTAGATGCAGAGGGTTCTGGGAAACGTGTTCCCCGGCAGGGACACCATTGTCTGGTGGAGCACGACTCTGCACTTTGGAAGAAGTATGACTTGGTTGGACCACGGGCCACCTCTGCTTCACGCCCATTCCGTACCCTACAGATATCGATGAGTGCACTGTCAACACCTGCCCCGTCAATGCAACCTGCACCAACACTCCCGGGAGCTACTTTTGCACCTGCCACCCTGGCTTTGCACCAAGCAATGGACAGCCGCATTTCGCAGACCAGAAAGCGAAATGTAGAGGTGAGGGGAGAGTTCTCTGGGACAGCCCTGATAAGACATTTCTCCCCCTCGTTCCTCCGGGTTTCCTGATATTCCCCAGTTCCTTGCAGATATTGATGAGTGTTCCCAAGACCCATCACCGTGTGGTCCACATTCTGTCTGCACCAATGCCCCGGGCTCCTACAGCTGCAGCTGCATGGTGGGCTTTCGTCCCGATCCAGAAGGCTTCCAGAAATATGGCAACTTCAGCTGTAAAAGTAATAATCTCCCTGTATGTCTTGGCGGTGGAATCTGTGTCTTGCTTTGGTTGCAAAATTTCTCACTCTACCCAACCCCTGGATCCTTCTCTCCCTTACACCTCATCCCCATTTTCTTTTTATTCATTCATTAACTCATTCAATAAATTGTTTTTGGAGCATTGATCAATTGATTAATAAATTAAACAAGTCCCTTGCACTGGGTATTGAGGATTTTTCAGTTCTGGATGTGATGGGCATGATTCTCGTCCACATGGGGCTTATAGTCTAGGGAAGGAGCCAGGGAGCTCCTTCACACACAATTATGTAATATTTAATAATTACTAGGATGAGTGCAACGATTGAAAATTCATAGTGTGCTTTGGAGTGGCCAATGAGATATTGAATTTGTTCCATGCAAAGGACATTTAAGTGGAAACTTGAAGGAGGAGTAGGAACTCTCTAGATGAAGAGAGGAGATCACAGTGTTCTGGGTTATAGCATGTGCAAAGGTCCTGAGGCTCACGTAGAGTGAGTACAAGAAGAAGTGGCATTAGATGTGTTCGATGAGGTGGAGAGAGGTCAGAGTCTGCAGGGCCTTGTGTTGTGCCATGTGAAGAATTTTGGAGTCTTTCTTTTCCCCAAGAACAATGGGGAACCACAAAAGGTTTAAAATTTTTAAATGATGGATTATGAGATACATTAAAAATATATGTTATTAATACTTATAGGGAAGCAATGAGGTATAACAATAAAATGAATATATCTGAGGCCCTTCCCAACATAAGAAAGAGAATATCATCAATGCCATCATGTCTTCTGCTTGTTCCTTCCCACTCTGTCTCCTCCTCTGAGGGACGCACCTGGAATTTTGTGTTCATTATTCTCCTACTTTTTAAAAATATTCCCTCCTGGGTATGTATCCCTAAACAATATATCCACTTAGTTTTGCTTGCTTTGGAGCTTTGCAAAAATGGTATCATGCTATGTCTGGTCTTCTCTGATCTGTTCTTTTTCACTAAATATTGTACTCTGTAGAGTCCCTCATGTTGTAGTGCACAGACGTAGTTTGTTCATCGTCACCTTTGTGTGTTACAGCCATGGGTGGTTTTTAAGCCGGAGAGGGGGGAATGAAATTCGACTTGCTTTTTTATCCTGCCTTGCTGTGGTTGACGTTTGGTTTGGTTGCTTTTGTTTTCTTCCCAGGACTTCTCTTCAAGTGTAAGGAAGACGTAATACCCCAAAACAAACAGGTCCAGCAATGCCAAGGGGGAGCCGCAGTGAAACCTGAATATGTAAGTGTTTTTGAAGGTTCCTAGTTCTTGAGGTTTTCCTAGAAGCCACTTAGGTCAGATGTTGTTTTTGCAGTTTTAACAAAGGCAAAAATAACAGTGGCCTAAACCAGATAGTGGTTTATTTCTCTCTTCTGTAACAGCCTGAGTGTAAGATGTGCAGAGCTGATAATGATGGGTCCATAAGTTTCCCACATTGTGGCCCAAAATGGCTGCTCCAGCTCCTGCCATCACATCCGCATTCCAGATGGTAGGCAGGGGAGAAGAGGAGGTGGAAGGCACAGTCTTTTCCTTTAAGTGTATGACTCAGCATCACTTCTGTTTGCACCTGATTGGCCAAAAATTAGTCACATGGTCACACATAGCTGCAAGGGAACCTGGGAAGGAAGGATATTTGCCTATCTAAAACTTGAGGAAGAAGAAGGGGAGACCATATTGGAGTCTCCCCACCAGCGAAGGCATTGTTGCTGCATCCAAGTGATATGGGACGGGCGATATTCAGCTAGCCTGGCAGAGAGGAATGAAGTCATTGCAATGAGTAAAGACTCTATAGTCTCTTTAGAAATTGATGCTGCTATTCTAAATATGAGCTTGTAAATTAGCTTTGGAACTACCACACACTTTGGACCACTGTTTTTCTTTTTAAATTGTAAAATACACGTAACGTAAAATTCATCATTTTACGTATTGGAAAGTGCACAATTCAATGGCATTTAGTCCATCCACAATGTTGTGCAACCATCACTGCTGTCTGGTTCCAGAACATTTTCATCACCCTAAGAAGAAACCCTGTCCCCATTAAGCACTCACTCCCCATTATTCCCTTCCCCCAGCCCACGGCAAACACTAACCAGCTTTCTGTCTTCATGGATTTGTCTATATTCTTATACATGGAATCGTACAATATTAGTTCCTTTGTGTCTGACATCTTTCACTGAGCATGATGTTTGCAAGCTTCATTCACGCTATAGCATGTATCAGAAATCCTTCCTTGTTCAGGGATGAGTAATATTTCATTTGAACCACTGTTTGCTTACCCACTTCCCCATCTTTTTCTACCACGAAATATTTTTGCTATTTGTTCCTGTTTGCTTCTTTTATTCATGGAAGAGAAAGGTGATGTGATTCTAATTGCGATCAAAGGATAGTTTTGTTTCCCTGGGAATTCTAGATACTTGAGGATTCAGGACTATGAGGGGCTTGGTGGCTCAATTTGTAGATTGCGTACTTGGAGGAATGGTTGGGTGAGTGCTCACAAACGCTCTTTCTTCTGGGACGCAGGTCTCCTTTTGTGCGCTGATAAATGCCACCTTCAGGGTTCTGGATGATGTGTGTGAAAACAAAACCACCGTGGTTTCTCTGAAGGTAAAAATAAAGTTTTTGTGTCTTGAGTTTCAAACATCTTGGGTACATTTTGGGGTGTGGAAAGTCCTCTTTATAATTCATGGCTTGTGAGTCAACATTGAATGTATTGTAGTTGTAAGGTTTTAAAAATTAGCATGTGGTAAAATTACCTTATTTGTTTATTTATTTTTTTGCTGTACAGTTCTATGAGTTTCATCACCTGAATAGATTTGTGGAACTACCACCACAATAAGAATACAGAACAGTTTCATTTCCTTCAAAATTTCCACTTGGCTTTCTCTTTGTAATCAGATACCCCCCTCGCCCCTAACCTCTACACATCTCTGTCCCTGCAGTTTTTTCTTTTCAAGAGCGTTATATAAATGGAATCGCAGAGTACATGGCCTTTTGAGACTGACTTCTTTCATTCAGAACAGTGCATTTGAGACTCAAAGATGTTGCATTTATCAATAGTCCCATTCCTTCTTCTTTTTCTAAATTTTACCATTAGTGACATTTAGTGTATTCACACTATTGTGCAGCCATCACCGCCCTCCATCTCCAGAACTTTCTCGTCTTCCCAAACTGAAGCTCTGTCCCCATGAAACACTCACTCCCCACCCCCTCCCCAGCCCCTGGCACCCACCGTCCTACTTCCTGTCTCTGTGGATCTGAAGACTCTCGGGACCTCTTGTGAGTGGAATCACACAGGATGTGTCCTTCTGTGTCTGGCTTATGTCACAGAGCACGATGTCCTCAGAGTTCATCCATGTTCATCCATGGATAAATGCTTTATTAGTTTTTTGTTGCTGAGTAATATCCCAATTTATGAATGCACCACGGTTTATTTATCCATTCATCTTGGAAGGACGTTTGAGTCATTTCCAGCTCTGGTGGTTATCGACAGAGCTGCTGTAAACTCTCCTGTGCAGAGTTTTTGTGTGTGTGAACGTGAATTTTCGTCTCTCCAGGGCAAATACCTAAGGGTTGCTCGGTTATTACAGCTGCAGATATGAAAACCCAGTGTTTCTCAAGCCTTTAAGTTGGACTTAGGGATGTTGTTATTTTATTTATAAATCTGGTTATTTTTGTATGAAAATAAGAATAGCACATTTACTTGTAATTTTACCAATTTAAAATTAATTTAACATATTTATTCATTCAGTGTACACTCATTAATAGAGTTTTCAGGTCACATTTCCGTGAATGGTTGACCTTGTTTACACACTTAATTAAGTTTTCTCAAATGTTTTATAACAATCCTAATTTCCCCCCAAATTTCAAGTACCTAACGAGGAAGATTTACAAATCTAACAGGCAAAGCCACTAGAGCCCTTGAGTGACCCATAAATCCAATTGATCAAACCTATTAACATATCAATAATAATTCAGATTCTCTTAAACATTCAATACAGTTTATAAACAGCCATGTTGTCTTCGATTGTTTATTTTAAAATCACAAGTCTAATTGCTTTTTGCAGCAAAACCACGTGGTTAACTGGTGAGCTTCTCCAATGTGCCAAATTGTTTTAAACCCTTTAAGTAACAGATGTTTCCAGATTATGCTAAGTATCTCAAAACCTTGTAAATTTAACACAAAAGTATTACCGCTAAGGATATTTAATTTGCCTAATTTTTTTTTTTTTTTTTACTTTCCTGAATATATGAAGTAACCTTCCCAACTAAGAAGAATAGATTCAACATTTCAGGGGGTGATTTTGATGAGATTTCATCAGCTGTAGAATTGTGGACCATGTTTTTCTAGGTTGCTTCTAGTTGAGATTTTTCTGCTATATCAGGGTAGTGGTGGGTGTGGACTCCAAACCCGTGCCTTTCGGGGATGTGGTTACAGAGCTCAGGGCATCCTGTTTCTCCTGGACAAACACCTCTCAAATCTCACCCATATCCCATAATATCAACATTACTATTATTATTATTGCTTTTCTTAATCCTATCCCTCCAGCCATAACCAATGTTAACAGTTAGCTGTTATCTTTCAGTATCTTTTTGTGAGTGTTTGTACACACAAACACATTTTAGAATCGTTTATTGAGCACTTATTATATGAGGTTCGGGGCAGTGACTAGTGAGTCAGCCTCGGGTGCTAGCCTGCCAAGATTCAAATCGTGGATCTCCCACCTACTAGATACACGTCCTTGTTTCTCTATCCAAAAAATGAACATAATAATGGTCTCTATTTTATAGTTATCTTTGCCAAATTAAATAAGTTAATATATATCTAAGATACTCAAAACAATACCTGGCTCTTAAAAAATGTGTGTTATTTTTATTTCAATATGCCAGCACATAAATACCATAAATATAATTTAAAAAATTAGAATTATTGTTTCTGAACTAAATGAGGTAGTACATACATATCACTTTGTAATTTGCTTGACTTAACAATAGCCCATTTGCAAGTGTTGGTCACTTTCAAAAAAAAAACAACACAAAACAATAGCACATGGCAACATATGTAACCTAAACATCTGTACCCCCATAATATGCTGAAATAAAAAAAAAAAGCAAAAAAACAAAAAAAACCCCAAAAAAACACAAAACAATAGCCCGTGGACCTTTTTTGCCTGTTAATACCTATAGGTATGCTATGACATTCTTTTTTTTTTCAGTTTTATTTTTATTTTAATTTAAGCTAATGCTTCTCAGTTTTTACTTTCTCTTTCCTGGTAGTATATTTGAAATGCATTAAAGCAGTGGTATATTTTCAGTTTTATTTTTAT